AAGTTGAGATGTCAGAGCGGTCATGCAGACTGCCCCTGTCCAGCTGAAGGTACGGGAACAGCGTCTGCGATGGTATGGGCATGTGCTAAGGAGGCCACAGGATCATCCGATAAGAACAGCGATGGACTTCGAAGTGCAAGGCAAGCGACCGCGAGGAGCCCCAAAGAAGAGGTGGAGAGACGTGATCAAGAAGGATCTAAGTGAAGTCATGGCCATGGACAGATGGAGGAAAAGCCGATGACTGACAAAAAAAACAGACCGCGTGGCTGCGGGACAGATGGAGGGGAGAAGAAGAGAGAAAGCAAAAGGTTGGTGGAGATGAGCAATGCGGGAGTTTTTTGCAAACACTCAAGGAATTACAAAAAAAGCCAGCAGCTCGAGAGTAAAAAATGTAGGCGGGCGGAGGATAGGAAGGTAGATGCTGTTCGTGGGCGGGTATGCGCCTTAACGGGGGCGGTTTGTTTTTCACTGGATTTATACAATTCGAATCCGAGACCTGGAGAGCGGGGACTTTACTTTGAACAGCAACGGCCAACGCCCCCTTTCAAATTTGTGGGTCACAGCAGTCGATAATGGAGTTATGCATGCATGGATGCATAGTTGACTTACAAAGAAAAAACGCAACAAAAAAACCGTCAATGAAGCCCTTGAAAAGGACCCCTTGGAAATCAGGAAGGGGCGGAGCCGGACGAAGTACACGAATTCGCCTGCTCCACGGCTGAACTGACTCGTGCTATGTGATTAGCCGCTACGCCGTATCACGTTTGTCAATCGGAGGAAGCTCACCGAATCCGAGCTATGCCGTCCTGCCCCTGTGCGCGACGTACACCGTTAAGACGTCAAGAACGTCTCCATAAGTTCACTTGGTGAGGGACCCGTTGTTTGATACTAGTGAGCTACTCCAATCCACCCACTTGATAGGACAGAATCTTAGGCGTGCCCTCTGCTGGGGAGTGCTTTAAGGTCGCGAAAGTTGAAGTTCGGAAGGACCATGCGCTTTCGATCGACATCGATTGAAAATATGGATTCTTGAAAGTTTTTAAGCAAGCGCTCAAAATGGGTGATAAATTGCATTGTTGAGTGGATACGATCACAGAGATGCAATTCCACAGTCGTAGGGTTACCGGTAAATTAACATGTTTCGAGAAGAAAGCCGAATCAGGAGCAGTACCACATCATTGGATGATTGGGTACCATCGCTATTCGGGTAGCCTATTTCTCAGTAACCATGTGACGCACGCGGTATCGTGCGCAGCAAAAACTAGTTAAAACGAAACATGCGAGCCTATACCTTTAGTATCTGGTTCGTAACCTGCCATTAAACACGCGAATTTGAATGTTTGCTGCATTAAGTTCTGAGTATTACCAAGAATCAAGACAAGTGGTAGCTGCGTCCTCCTGGAAACACATGATCAATACAAAAAGTGCAAGAATATATAGACAAAAAATGAGAATAAAATATGGACCTGGTAAAATTCTGATGATAATCCATGACTAGTTGAATTGCTGGAATTAAAAAGGCAGCAGTTTTCCCACTACCTGTTGGTGCACGCACAACCAACTTGGCACCTTGAATAGACTTCCTTTTAAATCACTGCGATTGGTTTTGGACTTTTTGATACTTACGACTCAGGATTATTGATATCGCATATGCCTGCATTGGCAAGAGGCGGCCGTGATTCATCTTGCGAAGATTTTCGGCAATCACTGGATCAAGATCGTCGATGGACCTACAACCAAATGTAAGATCCAATAAAAAAAGTTGAAGTACTGGCAGCGATGACCTTCCAAATGACGGTTCTTAAAAATAACTACGACAAAACAAACTCAATTGGACTGTAGTTGCTGTGCGATATAGCAATGTTTCTCCGTTGATCTTCGAAAATTCTTTCGAAGGCCGTCATTCCTTGATAGGACGGATCTAAAAATCAAATTCAGTGAGGAAACGAATTATAGATATATCTAACTTTTACTCCATTTATAATGGCCTGTGAGGACCCACTGTAATATAACTTTTCACAGAGGGAACTTGAACAAAATGAAATCCTCAAAACGAACGTGCAATGTGGTGGATAACATTGGCGGAGGAGGGTTTTACAACGGATAATCCGACACCTTCAACAGATTTGTCACTTCCATAAAAAGAAAAACATACTGCATTCATTGCTCAGGCGGTCATTTGCGCCGAATAAAGTAACCTCCCGCCACAATCCATCTAAGGCTGGTGTCAGAGTCCCGATCCGTCGCGCGATTCGCGCGAATCGCAAAAATTGCAAGTGCCCCATTTGAACATTTGAAACACTGAATATGAAACAAGTAGAATCATGAACAGTCGTCATTCAGCCATCACCATCAAGCAGAAATGGCGGCGGGATTGGAGAGCACCTTGCAGTATTGATCGGGCACTTGTGATTTCTGTGACCGTCGCGCGAATCGCGCGATCCTGCGACGGGTCGCGGACTTTGACACAAGCTTAACTCGTGAAGTCCAGCGGCTTCAATCAGCGTCGTGAGCGCGTTATTACCATTCAATTCGCTGTAGAGCTGTAGACAGTTGTCACCAACTCGCATTTGACATGGAAGCGATTAGCACATATTGACGAATACTCCTCATGCTATAGCTATTTTCAGTAGGTTGAGGCGTACAGGTCGGTTGAGCATGTTCCTCCCCAGGTGACTATATGAATTTGATTCTTCATTGTTATTTTCTCACGTGAAACTTCACTGCCGCGGCGTGTCTTATCAAGTTACTTCTATTTGATGCTGTCCGAGCAATTCAAAAGAGTGCACAGCAGATTATTTTTTCCATCACATAGCCATCCATTCCTACTTCTTGGCGCTAAAGCTACACAGTAGATTCAGTTTTTTTTTTGAAAAGAAAACAAAAACATATTGATTCAATTAACGCCTCGATAGATTTGAAAAAAAAATTCCACGAAGCTGGAATCCACATGCAAAACTCACCGCTTCCAATCGTCGATCTCTCATCAAAATAGATGTCGTACTCCACGTGTTTGTGAGCACTCATGTCGTGACTAAACAACTAACAGATTATGCTTAGTTCTCCGCATCAGAGCGCCTCGTAACTGCAGACACAGTGATAAAACATGATGACGTCCTCAAAGAAATGAATTCACGTGTAATTATGATGTAATTCTTCTGCCAACGAAGTTGTTAGGTGAAATCTTTATTAGTGGAGTGACGTTTCGACGAGTTATTAGTGGAGTGACGTTTCGACGAGTTCGTCTTCCTCAAAGGCCCAGTCCACCACCGCGTGGACACCGCCACTCCAAGTTAGTTATGATTAGTAACTCAATTATTATTGGCGAAGAACTACATTATAATTACATGAATGCCGAGGTTCTACGAAGAGAGAGGTTGAAGTCTGAATCCACGTGTTTTTCAGGTCCATATCTCAACGTCTGATTAGACGTGTCTATGGATTGACGTGGCCGTCGCAGCACTTGATTGAAGTCGCATGGGTAAGCTGTTTTTAAAATACTCTGCTGTATTCCAGTATAGCGTGCCGGAAGCCTCAGCCGCGCAACATCTATCAAGTGTGGCGGCCGTCACGTCAACCCATAGACCGACGTCATAGTTTGCGAATCGAGCGATTCGCTAGCGAATCGCTGGATCCGAGCGTTGCGCCAGCGAATCGAACGTTGCAGCGAATCGAACGATGCACCAGCGAGTCGAACTATGTACCAGCGACTCAATAGTGGCGGGACCCAACGTTCAAAGGAAGCCCGCCACTTTCAAACAGTGTCACGTGACAGTGGACCCTTTTGAAAGTGGCGGGACTTGACAGTGGACACTGTTTGAAAGTGGCGGGCTTCCTTTGAACGTTGGGTCCCGCCACTATTGAGTCGCTGGTACATAGTTCGACTCGCTGGTGCATCGTTCGATTCGCTGGTGCAACGTTCGATTCGCTGGCGCAACGCTCGGATCCAGCGATTCGCTAGCGAATCGCTCGATTCGCAAACTATGACATCGGCCTATGGGTTGACGTGGCGGCCGCCACACTTGATAGATGTCTAAATACACTATCATTATATACTACCCGTGGTGAACACCTTGAGCGCTCTAAACCGCATGCCCCCCCAACTGGAATAGAACCTGAAGCTGTTTATGCAAGGGTACCAAAAAGGAAGTGTGACAAGGTGTTCAAATCGCTTGAATTCCCATACATCTCACAGAACAAAACGACAAAGAAAACTAGTCGAAAAAATGAAGCTCATGGAAAAGTTTGCTCACTAAGAGGCTGCGCATGAATAACACGGGATTGGCTGAATGCGTGACTACGAGCGAATAGGGATGTTACTACCTCGAAAGTAAGTGTATGGATGAAGGCGAAAAAAACCTTACGTGAGGGTAAAAAGTTTTAAAAAACCTAAAAACATCAAAAAAAACTCTTCCCTTCAAGAAACCTATGATGGTAGGGGGCATGTCTGGACGAGTTTTCTGAAACAGTCGCAATATCTTTAGTCCAAAAGTCATATTCACACAACCGGCTACTATTCATTCACTACGTCTTGATCTACGTCGCATGTTGGGAGATGTGCGCGGAATAACATCCACTTGATCAGATTTTCTCGCTTTATAAGGCCCTAACGCCTTTGCCGCACACTTCTAGGTCGCAACAACGGCATATGTACGAGGTTCATGGGGAGGTCTATCCTGCTCATAGAATCCACCTGAGCATAGTAGGCTGTCGTTTCAAATGAAATACCAGCCTGGCAGCTCGCAAAACGAGAAAAGTGCATACCTATCCGGTAAAGTACTTAACTCCGGTTCACACTGCTCAAATGATGAACTGCTATCTGAAACTAACACTTTAATCAATATTTTAATAGGAATGTTAAGTTAGCGCAGAATACCCGAGATCGGAGTTGGAGTACTGCTTGCACGCGGTTGTTCTTGTAGCATTCTGAAATGAAAATTGCTGCAAATTGGAACTGGCAGAGATTACTGTCTCACAAACACAAAGGAGCACCAGTTATTAACAAATTGAACATCCCGAAGTTAATTCTTCTGTGCCGATTCCATATTTTCTGACGGTACTGTGTTAATCAGAAATGAACCGAGGGAGGCCAAAAAGACATTTTGCCCATGTCGCACTCAGCGATTTTTGTCGCAAAGATTGCCGTCGTTGATGGAAGTAATAAAGCAAAATATTCCTCAATGTTCCTCTATAGTGGACGTAAGTCCCTTCCTTCATTGCCCTCACCCTCCAGAATATGACTTCATCTGCCATCGTTGTCGAGCTCAGGGAAACCTCCGTAACTGCCAGCAGCCCGCGCCTAACTGCCAGCAGTCAGCCCAAAGCTCTTACATGATTTTCCGAAACGATTCATTATTGAATTGTTCCCTAGAAACTTTAGCTTTGAGTACGCAAACGCCCTCGAAACCCACTTTTCAGTGAACGTTCTAATGGTATAGAATTGGTCAACGACTCCACTGAGCGCGACCAATGCACCATCTTTCGCAAAGCAGTTTTTTCCGATGCTGTCCACGTAGAACGCCATTACGATGTCCATTTTATAAAATGGAGTGTGCTCCTCAGTTCTATGTTGGAATAGTCAATTTGAATTTAGCAAAGTGTGATTGGATCGATTTGATTGTGGAGGCAGAATAACGTTTTTTATTGCCCCAAGTCCGTGTAATAGTGGTTGCCATGGTCTATACATTTTACCAGAAGAAGTTTTGAAGAAGCTTGACGGGATTGTTAATCGATATTTGAAGCCAAAATCTTGTTAGCGCTCAGAGAGCGTAATGACGAAAAACAAGATCAAGACGCAAATTTCGGATTTCTGAGCAAGGGCATACCAATTTTGCTACCTCTTTCTCTCTTCTTATGCACTAAGAAAGTTCTAAGGAAGATCGTATCGATGAGCTCGGAGGGGGCACTGCGCCCTTTAATTCCAAATCTCATAGCCAGTTGCTTTGCCCTTGTCGCAGCGCCCATAATAATGACTTTTACAACAGAAGCAAGCACCATATTGGAAGAACTAGTCGCCTGACAGGATGCAACAACTTGTCAAAACTTCAAAGGACCGCCGGCTGCCACTCAAAGGAAACCCATCTGCCTTGACAATCAAGGAGAAGAATGCAATTACCACACTTTACTCCTGCCACAACTATGTCATAAGACCTTGATTTAGTGATGGAGGCTAGCCTCACCTTCTTTCTGCAACTGAAATTCCAAACCAGTATCTCAGTGAGACCGTGGGTAGCTGCAATGATAACATTACTTTATTAATCAGCAGAAAGCTACATCCCACTATTTCAAAAAATTAAAACCGCCTAGACAGATTCCGAATTTCAAATGTTTAGAAGCTGATCATGGACATCTTTATCACTATGGAAGGAACAACGACAATTCACGAATATTGTAAACGAAGCTGAATAGTCGCTCTAAAACACTTTAAACTGGCTTAAACTGACCCATATTTCGCAGAAATGACTTTAAAAATAGCAAACTCTAGTACTGCATTCGCACAACAAACTCACAAGAACAAAAGGCACTAACTATAAAAACAGAACAATGTTACAACAGGACAACTAGAAAGGGCTGCACAATCTCGTCAACTGCAACGTTCGGTAAAACTTCGCAAACACTGTAAAGAAGCAACTGTACATTTATAAGATCATGCTAGAAGATGCGAGCAGCAAGGATTTCATTAAAAATAGTTTCCTCGAATAAAGACAGCAATCCAAAGAACTAGGAATGCGAAGTATATTACGCTTAAATTAAACATATACCAAAAACACAATTCATCAATGATGAAGTCGCTGCGCAATACGCTGCACCATCGTTTTCATGCTTCACAAACAAAACCAAATTTGGGAGCGCTCTGAACGCGAGGTGAACACATTATTCTGAGGCGCGCTCAAGCTACCTTGAAAATTAAGCTTCCGCCAGCTAAAAAGATTTTTCAGCTTACCAAAGTCGGTGACGATAACTTTTCATTCACGAGACCAGTTCGCCGAAGTCGCGCGACTCCTGCGACGGTCGACTTTGACACAAGCTTAACTCGTGAAGTCCAGCGGCCTTCAATCAGCGTCGTGAGCGCGTTATTACCATTCAATTCGCTGTAGAGCTGTAGACAGTTGTCACCAACTCGCATTTGACATGGAAGCGATTAGCACATATTGACGAATACTCCTCATGCTATAGCTATTTTCAGTAGGTTGAGCGCGTACAGGTCGGTTGAGCATGTCCAGGTGACTATATGAATTTGATTCTTCATTGTTATTTTCTCACGTGACTTCACTGCCGCGGCGTGTCTTATCAAGTTACTTCTATTTGATGCTGTCCGAGCAATTCTAAAGAGTGCACAGCAGATTATTTTTCCATTCACATAGCCATCCATTCCTACTTCTTGGCGCTAAAGCTACACAGTAGATTCAGATTTTTTTTGAAAAGAAAACAAAAACATATTGATTCAATTAACGCCTCGATAGATTTGAAAAAAATTCCACGAAGCTGGAATCCACATGCAAAACTCACCGCTTCCAATCGTCGATCTCTCATCAAAATAGATGTCGTACTCCACGTGTTTGTGAGCACTCATGTCGTGACTAAACAACTAACAGATTATGCTTAGTTCTCCGCATCAGAGCGCTCGCTACTGTTAACAGCAGTGATCAAAAACATATGACCTCCCCCATCAAAGAAAATGAATCAACGTGAATTATGATGTAATTCTTCTGTTAACGAAGATGTTAGGTGAAATCTTTATTAGTGGAGTGACGTTTCGACCAGTTCGTCTTCCTCAAAGGCCCAGTCCACTACCGCGTGAACACCGCCACTCCAAGTAAGTTATGATTAGTAACTCAATTATTAGGCGAAGAACTACATTATAATTACATGAATGCCGAGGTTCTACGAAGAGGGAGGTTGAAGTCTGAATCCACGTGTTTTTCAGGTCCATATCTCAACGTCTGATATACTGCTAATGATTGACGTGGCCGTCGCAGCACTTGATTGAAGTCGCATGGGTAAGCTGTTTTTAAAATACACTGCTGTATTCCAGTATAACGTGCCGGAAGCAGCTCAGCCGCGCAACATCTATCAAGTGTGGCGGCCGTCACGTTAACCCATAGACCGACGTCATAGTTTGCGAATCGCGAATCTGGATCCGAGTAGCGAATCGCTGGATCCGAGCGTTGCGCCAGCGAATCGAACGTTGCACTAGCGAATCCACCGATGCACCAACGAGTCGAACGATGTACCAGCGACTCAATAAACCGCGGGCCCCAACGACAAAGGAAGCCCGCTACTTTCGAAACAGTGTCACGTGACATTGGACCCTTTTGAAAATGGTGGGTCTTTGACAGTGGACACTGTTGAAAAGTGCGGGCTTCCTTTGAACGTTGGGTCCTGCCACTATTGAGTCGCTGGTACATCGTTCGACTCGCTGGTGCATCGGTTCGATTCGCTGGTGCAACGTTCGATTCGCTGGCGCAACGCTCGGATCCAGCGATTCGCTGCGAATCGCTCGATTCGCAAACTATGACGTCGGCCCATGCGTTGATGTGGCGGCCGGCACACTTGATAGATGTCTAAATACACTAAGTAGAACCTAAAGACTTATATAAGGGCATCAAAAAGGAAGTGTGACAAGGTGTTGAAATCGCATTGAATTCCAATACATCTCACAGAACAAAACGACAAAGAAAACTAGTCGAAAAAATGAAGCTCATGGAAAAGTTTGCTCACTAAGAGGCATGAAAATAACACGGGATTGGCTGAATGCGTGACTAACGAGCGAATAGGGAAGTTACTAACTCGAAAGTAAGTGTATCGATGAAGGCGAAAAAACCTTACGTGAGGGAAAAAAGTTTAAAAAAAAAACGACGCTAAAAAATCAAAAAACTCTTCCTTCACGAAACTAATGATGTAGTGGGGCATGCTATGACGAGTTTTCTGAAACAGTCGCAAATTATCTTAGTCCAAGTATATTCACACAACCGGCTACTATTCATTCACTACGTCTTGATCTACGTCGCGTGTTGGGAGATGTGCGCGGAATAACATCCACTTGATCAGATTTTCTCGCTTTATAAGACCCTAACGCCTTTGCCGCACACTTCTAGGTCGCAACAACGGCATATGTACGAGGTTCATGGGGAGGTCTATCCTGCTCATAGAATCCACTCCTATAGATAGCTGTCGTTCAAAATGAAATCACCAGCCTAAGTCAATTTTCAACTGAAACTGGCTGGGCAGTCTGCAAAACGAGAAAGTACTTAACCTATCGGTACAGTACTTCTAGCTCCGATTCGCGCGCTCACGCGACGAACACAAATCACAAGTGCCCGATCAATACTGCGAGGTGCTCTCCAATCCCGCCGCCATTTCTGCTTGATGGTGATGGTTGAATGACGACTGTTCATGATTCTACTTGTTTCATATTCAGTGTTTCAAATGTTCAAATGGGGCACTTGCGAATTTTTGCGATTCGCGCGAATCGCGCGACTAATCGCGGGCTCTGGCATCAGCCTCGAGGAAGTTTCAATCAAGTTTGTAGACGCTCGTGGTTCAACACGCACTAGTAGATGTACTTCGTAAGGAAAGTGAGAAAATCATACAAGAACAAAATCTGAAAAAAAATAAATCCGCCAAAGCTAGTACAAATTCACAATGACTGAAATAGCGTTTTCAGAGCAGGAAGTGGAACGTAAACATTAAACAGCCAATCAGGAATTTTCAGCTTACTATTCTTCTGACGATGGTAAAGTCGACGACCCCTGAGTCGATGGTTCACCAGGCCGTTTCAGCCATATCCACAAGGAACTGAGGGACTACTTGGTTCAAGCTTTCCAGGAACTAGAAAGTTTAGCTTTGGTTTCACTATTTCATACGGCACAAGCATTTACATTGCTCATTACTAGCAAACCAGCAATTCACCTCTATAACACAG